TAAAAATAATTTTACAAAAGAAAGAAGGATATATGAACATATATGGCATATTTCATATACAATTATATATGTTTATGAATATTTATACATGTTTATGTATAAATAATCATAAACATATATAATTTATTATATTATGTATGTTTATACATATTTATACATATTCATACATGAAAAAATTCTTATACATAATTTAACTATTATTGTATATTTTTATTATTGAAATTCATTAAAACTACAAAAATTATTGCATTATAGATGCATTTATAATAAAAAAGAATACTCTCTAAATTCTTTTGAGTGAAATTTTAAAGAGAGTGAAAATACAGCTATGTATGAAACAGAGTGAGATTGTCCTGGTAAAAAAGTTGATGGAAAACGATTGAGAACTATAGGATTTTTATCAATTTGTATGTGTTTTTCTGTAAGTTTGTATCATTTTCTATTGTTAATCTCGCGAGAACATCACGATTGATCGGATATGAATCCTATCATATTTTATTGGATTTCATAAAATTTGTATAAAATTCCTATAAGATCTGATTCAAATTATGAGTTTACAGATCACATTCAACAATAGGATTTTTTTATCGTTCTCTATCGATGTCTTTACTAAGGCGTAGCAAATGACAGGTTTTCTAATCTAACAAACTTTAACGATTAATATTTCGCAAGGCAGAGCAATACTTCTTTTTGCTAAATTCGTTTGTTTCGAGCAAAAACACGAATGAGCCTAGTTTTATCGAGATTGGATGTGAGGGAACCAAATAATATTTATCATTGAGGTAAATCTTTTTAGAGGAATGAAATATTGCCATTCTTTTTCAAGAAGTGAAACATTTCACTCTTTTTCAAAACTGACTATATTTTCACTCTTTTATAGTGAGATTTTATTCCAAGAAGTTTAAGAGTAGGTACTATCAGAATCGTCACTAAATTAGTCATATAGCCCCGTGTTGTGGTTAGCTTACTAGCCCCATCCGTTCATTTTTTAAAAACATTAACATTATATACGATAATAAAGACAAATAAACAAAAAAAATCTGTTGGACTTTATTAAGTAAGAACTACATTTACTATCTAAATGGAAATCAAATATCTCAGACAATTGTATACGATTGTAGAACAAAAATTTTAAAAATAAAAATATTCACTTACATGTACGATTTTTTAAAATTGTATTTTGTTAAATTGTAATTTCTAATACAGACACGTCTGCCTTGAGATCTCACAGCAGATTGAGCGGCAGTTGCCGCTGTGTGCACGTTTACGCGTGTCTCGCGCGATTTGTTTATAACGTAGTCTCAATTATTCTACCCCTAATTACTTACCCCTATAGTTTACTGACTCCGGTCTCTCCTACTACTGATATTTCATACAGTTATACAATCATAAATAAAGATGCATCAGATTTCTCTCTCAAAATTTGCGAAGTTCCACGGAGCGAATTAAAAATTGTGCACAAATGCGGTTTACAGCTTTCGAAAGAGTGAATCTTTACCTTTAATTTGCATTTTTATAGACCTCTGTATGATTTTTTTTTTATCGAGTTATTCAATGTTGAAAAATGATCTTTTTTGGTTCGTTGAATAACTCAGTCAGTGAAAAAAAAATTGTATAGAGATCGAAAAACAGCAAATTAAAGATAAAAATTCACTCTTTCGAAAGCTGTAAACCACATTTTTGCACAATTTTTAATTCGCACCGCGCAACTTCACAAATTTCGTAAAATTCGAAGATTTGATGCATCTTCATTTATGTTTGTATAATTTCATGAAATATCGGTAAGACCGTTTTTTAAATTACTGATTCGAAAAGTACAAATTTCAAGCTATAAAATGCTTTTTTACTCATCTCGATATAATGATTTTTGACGAAGTTATTTTATCTTAAAATTTACTTGCTGCTTCTCAACAAAGTTAAAGTCATTTAAAATCAGCGTTAAAAAGGATTAAATTCAAATTTCACATACTTCCGCGAAGAATGGTCGCGAAGCGACACTCGCACGCAGACAACTTTTTCTTGTAAATTCAGTATTTAACTCAGAAACAAATTATTGTATAGAGAACTTTACCAAAAGGTAATTAAGGTACGAATTTCAAATTTTAATTCTCCTTAATTTCGTGTAAGTGCGTGTACAATGTATGCGTGTATCTTGCCACGTCCACGTTGTTGATTTTGAATAATGCTGAGAGCAGGATACATTATTAGGATAATTATTAAAAAAAAAAAAGAAAATTAGAGCGGCTACTTTTGCCATATAGATAAGTATGAGGAAATATATTTACCCCCTTTCCCTCCTCTCGCTCCATCTATCCTCGGGAATTCTATACACTAAAAAATTTTATTTCGCCGCCCCTGTTCTCTCCATCTTTTTGGTGGTCTTTCTGGTGGTTGTTTAGTATTTGATTTTTCTGTTTTAGCCCATTTGGCTATAGCTTTTCAGGTTCTATATGGTCCTACATGATCTCTCCATTCACTACGTTTTGCTCTTACCCATCTTATCATTTCCTATTGTTCCAATACTATCTTTTGCACCCTTCTCTAATAGACTGCACTTTTTACTTGGTCGCATAAATTGATTCCTCGTTGTACACAGTGTTTTCATCTCAGTTGAACTTAGGAAATTTCAAGGTAAAATAACTTCGTCAAAAATTATTGTATCGAGATGAGTAAAAAAGCATTTTAAAGCTTGAAATCTGTACTTTTCGAATCAGTAATTTAAAAAACGGTATTACCGATATTTCATGAAATTATACAAACATAAATGAAGGTGCATCAAATCTTCAAATTTTATACGAAATTTGTGAAGTTGCGCGGCTCGAATTAAAAATTGTGCAAAAATGTGGTTTGCAGCTTTCGAAAGAGTGAATTTTTATCTTTAATTTGCTGTTTTTCGATCTCTGTACAATTTTTTTTTTCACTGACAGTTATTCAACATTGAACCAAAAAAGATCTTTTTTTTTTGGTTTTTATGGTATCCGCACGTGTTTCCACCACATATGTAAGTATTAGTCTTACACATGTCTTACAGATCCGCACTTTACTCTCGATGGTCATATGCTTATTTCTACATACGACATCCCTTAGATAACCTGAGATCAGATTCGACTTATTTGAGCCCCTTAAGCCCAGTTCCATAACTCACAGTTAATTCTAGAATTGAAAAGAGACAATGAATAAGTTGAACCTCGGTTAAGAGTTAACCGTAAATTGTGAAACTGAACCTTAATTGATAAGTGGTATAAATCCAAAATTAGGAAAAATGCGTTTATTATAGAAGTAGAAGGTAATAAGAATGTTTGTTTTATCTATCAATTTAATTTTATTTTATTTTTCCAGCAATATAAGTATGTATATACATATTTACTAATATATATTTACTAATATAAGTATATATTTGATAAAGTAATACAGGCCGACAAAATTTAGGGAAGAGTCTTCTACTTTGAACTTTGAAAGATGTTTCCGTAGGATTTTAAAAGCGACTACGGTGTCCGTTTTTTTTTCTATTAACTTCCATTTTTTAAATAATCGCAAAACATTTTTTTCCAGAAGTAACTTTTTTATTAATTTCTTCCAACTAAACAAAAAATAATATCGAGATTTGTTTTGCGGCATTTAACTTAGAAATGTTCCAATAATATTAAAAATATAATATTAATATTTTTCCAATGCTTTTAAAAATATTTTATACAAACCGCAAACAAAAAACTTTGGAAAAATCGTAAAAAAACCGAAAAAAATGACAAATTTTGAAATATAAAACCAAATAATTCTAAAGAAAAAAATCGTAAAAAATATCTGACAATTATACTTATAGCTGTATATTTCTAGTTTAAATCCTTTTTTGAAAAACTAATTTCCGATCACTTGTTCAGAAGTTATTAAATTTAAAGTGCCAAAGCAGCTGCGTCACCTACAATGCGCGATATCCTGTCGAGTCTGACACATAGCCACCGAATACAGGTGCATGTAGTCTTTTTTGGTCACTAATTTCATATCTGAAATAAAAATTGTACAATTCAAAATGACGAATCCAATATAAAGAACAAGAATTTTAAAAAATCCGTACATGAAAATTGGTAGTTTTATATATAGCGATTTACTAATAGTAGGGACGATTTTACAAGAAATAAGGACGAATTTAAAATTTATCGAAAGTTTCTTAAAGTTCAAACTTCACCTTTATAAGAATAAAAACAAATTTTAAATATGACTATTTTTCACAGTGTTATATTTACTCGAAGTTATATATACAATTTTTATATAAATTTATGTTACAATAATTTTGTTGACGAGTGTATATTGATTTCAAGGACAAATTATTCAGATTGAAAAGTTATTTATTTTCTTGTTTGATAATATTTCATCCAACTTAACTTCATAATAAAAATAAAAGAAGCTGGATCTAATTTAAGAATTAGTAGATACTTCATGCTCAAGCAAGGGACGAGAAAGTCATCAGGAGAGAAGACCTGATGAAGAATCCGCGGGGAAGAGGTCGTCATAGAATAAAACATGCACTGCGATGATATCGGCTGCATTCAAGCTACTTTTTTGCTGAACACAATCATTTACTTTTTCTTTCTCTTGTTGCAGTTCTCTTTCTATTTCATAGCATTCTTTCTCCTACCCAGAGCGGTAACCGTTCTTCCTCTCTCTCTTTCTCTAAAAACAATTTTCATAAATCAATTTTTTTTATAATTAATTTCATTGTTGATTTTATTTTATTGTTTTTATAATCAAGGAAATATGTTTGATATAATAATCTTGTAAATGAATTAATAATAATAATAATATTATATATATTGTCTGCTGGGAATGGAATTAGATGGAGGACAATAGGTAAAGGAAAAATAATTTTTTAAATTGAATAATATATTTTTTAATACATTTATCTTTTATGTAACGCATCATTTACAATATTGTCTAAAGCGTATATCAACAATTCGCACTCGATAAGCGAAGTTTTATCATGAATTTCTTGCAAGATTCTGGCTGCATTACATTTATCAGTGATACAATTTTGACGTAAAATAGTTACAAATTTGTTAAATTTCTTATTGGCTTCGGGTATATTCTGACATAGCCCGATATACAATACATGTGCTCGATGCAATATTCAAGTTTGAACATGAAGACTACAGTTGATGGCTTCATGTACAAACAAGTATCGCGTGATTTTAATTTTATAATATTTACATCACATATTTTTTCAAATTCCAGATCTCCAATCAATAGAGATGAAGTCACAGTTGACTGCAGGAGTCGTTCAATGTCCACACGTCTCTCAATAAATATCTTCCACGTTGCATAAGATAGGATTAATCGATTACCTTGATTGTCGCCAATAAATAATTCCACAAAGGACGTAGGTCCCACGTTGATTCCAATATCCAAATATTTATTTGCTGTGAGTGTTAAGGCAAATCTCCTTCCCAAGATGTGAGACGTATAACGAGGTTTCGAAGATGAATTGTTAAAAGGTGTACTACAGAAAAAATACAGAAAAAATACAGAGAGAGAGGTAAAGAAAAGTGCATAAAAAAATTATTATGCAATTGAACTTACTTTTTCTCCCACGCTTTATTCTGTTGAAACGGAACATAAGAGTTCATATCCTTATGCATTTTCAGAAGCTATCTCATTAAACCCGACCTTTGCAGATTGATTAATGCAATAACGAATGTATGTACCATACGTTGCCAGAACTCTTTTCGTGTATTCCTTTCACTGAAATGTAATACTACTGGAATAACTCTGGCGCGAGTTTCGCGATACGATAAAGACTGCGTTCAGCGGACTCAACAGTTAAGTAAGCGCTCGCTGTTATTGGTATATTCTTTTAGAGAATCCAATTAGCATTTTAGATCTGGAAGAATACATCAATAGCAGCGAGCGCTCACTTAACTGTTGAGTCCGCTGAACGCAGCCAAAGAATATTTCAAGTGATATCATTCTTTTCTAATCTATACTTAGCTATGCGATTCTATGTACATGTGCATGTGTACCATTTACTGCACATACGCAATTATAGCCGAGTATAAAAGTTTGAAAAGGACGAAGATTCCATACACTTTCGTGAAATCTTCATCTGTTTATAAGAACGCTCTCTCTCGGATCACTCTTAACAAAGGCACCATACAGCTGCGCTCGTTCCAGTATTATGTTTCAATGATCCCTCCATATTTTTCAGTGCCATCTTCAGTGTAGAATTTATGTTTTTTTTTCTGTGTCACAAATTAAATAATGTAAGCACATTGTATGTATCGAACTTTAAATTACATCAACGTATACAAAATGAGTACAAATTATGTAATATTATGTTAATCAAATTTAATCAATGTGTGAGAATATTCGAGTTTTCTTATTTTTTATATACATGTAGGATGCTCAATACTACGTGACTGCCATCTTGAATGTTTGGGCCATCTAGAGGTACATTCCAAACGTTCCTTCCGAAAAAAATTTTAATCAAAATATATCCATACATAGCACGTAATATCACAGTAATATTGCACTATATTAGAAATATTCCATATTACAATATAATATCACAGAAATATTACTGATGTATTACATATTGATAACCAACATTAAAGTATCATAGTAATTTTGTGGCAATATGACATCTTAAGTAGCAGAGTTATTATAATTAATAACATTTTTATGTTTTATTGACGTTAGAAACGTCATTAAAACGTGATTAAAATATCACAAAATTATACGTACACATATATAATTCTATAAGTGATATTTAGTTTTATAACTAAAGTTGGGATTATGAAAATACATATTTTATATTATTAATATGAATACAAAACGGTTTGCATATCTACACGGATTACGTAAAAGCAAAGTGTTAAAGCCTATTTTTATTTTGTATTATATATTTTGCATATATGTATCTTTTTGAGCATATTTCTTGTAAAATTGTTCATATAGTTTAGTATTACATGTCATTGTTGTTTACAATTCTTTGAGAAATTAAATATTTAAGACCTAATTTTATATTCAAATTTATGTCATTTTGTGTTAATACTGTTTTATATATTTTTTGCTCAAAGTTAATTAATTTGTTTATTTTATTGTATTTTTATAATTATTTCTTTCTATGTTTCTCATTTAATAAATATATTGCATATTCTGCATCTTATGTAAATATCTCATTGTAAGTATATACGAGGTCTGGCTATTAAATAACGAGACTGCTTATGAAAAAGAGTTTTATTTTAAAAATTATTCTACAATTGAATGCTCTCCTTCAATGTACTCCCCTCCCCTCGCCACACACCATTCCATTCGTTTTTTCCATTGGTCAAAGCAATGCTGGAAGTCTTCTTTTGTAAGAGCATTTAGGAGCTCCGCCGATTTTCGCTTCACCTTTTCCATCGACTCGAACCGGGTTCCTTTTAAGGCAGACTTGATCTTCGGAAACAGGAAAAAGTCACAGGGTG